AGTATTTACAGCTCAGTAACCCATATCATTAAATATTCTGCTACAAATAAATAATTTTTAAAAATCATTCTGGAGTGTTTTTGGAGGGGTGAACCTTTTTGCTATTTATTCTTAAGGGGAATTGAATCGAATACTTCTTCCCAGATGGTTTTGTAGTGCCCACTTTATCTTTCTAAAGCATCCCTATCTGGCATGGTTCTTTTTCTAGGCTCTCTACATGGTACACGTATCTGGGGCGTTGCATCTGTAATTGGTTTTTACTCTTTCCAGCATACTCAGGGCTTCCTGGGATATGCCATAGCCCATAGCTGCAAAAGCGCCTGTCCATCCTGTTAATATTTAACACCACTCTGCTAGAAAAATCTCTCTAATCTCCCCCTTTATTTGTATTTCAGATGGTTTTTGATCATCCTGAGAAAAATGAGCCTTGGCCTCCAGACCTAATCAAGTAAATCTCTTTCCCATGGAGAATAATACCAGGGTTCCTGGGGACCTGGAGGGCCTGCAGCCCCAGAGGGATTAGCCAGAAGCAGGTAAGGAGCTCCTAGAAGTTTGAGAAAGTGGAGGGTGATTTCCTGAGTAAAACGGCATGGGCCTGACTCTGCTAGCAAGTGGCTTGGGTCTTCCTCATCTCACTATAGCTTCACCACTTTGCCTCTGTTTCTTCCTTTCCTAGTCTTCTAAGAACTTAGTCTGTGAGGGCCAAAGAGGTGGGGATAGCAGGCTTCTCCAACTCTATGCTACAGATAGAAGGTCTGAATTTTCTATAACTGACAGCCTTTTATGAGAGCATTTATGTGCCAACCATTGCATTTGACAGTAAACACGCTTCCAGTAGATAGAGCAGAGCTCTTTACTTACAGATATTTTCTTTATTGTTTATCTAGTGTTGGCTTGGTCTCTGTGGGTGGTAATGTGCATGGCTGCAGTATTCTTTTTTTAGAAGTTTCTTCCTGGTATAAGGATTCATTGGATTCAGCTTTGCTGGCTCACCAATCTCTTACTTAGCATGACTCTGTTCTGGGTTTGGTTCTGGGGCAAATTATTCAGACATGATACCAGGAAGCATTCTCCTCTGAATCAGGGCTTAGGCTCAAAACCCAAGCTTTGTAAACATGGCTTGTTAACAAGCAGGGGTGTGGTGAAAGCCAAGGGCAGTGAATTCATCAGCTGCAAAACCTGGAAGCTTACAGAGTAAGTCTGGAGATAGGAAAAATCAAATCATATACTGTTTTCCAAAAGCTTTTGGGGAAAAAGTCAGTCACCACTCTTTTCCCTGAGGTAGGTGTTAGGTGAGGCCTTCCCCTGTGTCTATCTTGCTCAAAGAGTTGGCAAGTGAGAATGGGCCCCCTCAGCTCTGAGTGGCCATGACTAGAAACCCCAGCTGGCCTCAGGTGAAGATAATATGGAGGGACCACACAAGCACTGATGGAAGGTTCCAGATGCATGTGGTCAGGAGGTGAAGGGCCTGTCAAGGGCCATGAGAAATACAGCAGGATAACTAATATTCAATAGACCGACCTACCACATGAGTGATAGGGAACTGGCAAGGCTGTGAAGTCAATGGTTGTGGAAATCAGTCGCTTCTGTCTGTAATTTCTCTCATGAGCCACTTCATCTCTTCCCTAAGAATAGCTTGAGTATTTCCCTGCGTGTGTGTGTGTTTATCTCCTATGTCTGTCAGGAGAATAACTTTTCATGTGGCTCTATAATCTTGATATACAGAATATATACTGGGTATCTTATATTCATGAATAGGCCCCCGAGAAAGGAATTTCTTCTCACTCAGGCATCAGCGGTAAGAACGCCCCACTTCTTATCTTGAGGCTGAAAGCAGCAGCCTCCGGATCTCACACTACATAGCCTTAGCTTTTCCTTTTGATATAACACTGAGAAGTCCCCTTTAATCAGCTAACATTTGTCGAAATGCTAATGTAGATAAAATGCTACCATTTTTCCTTCCACAGCTTATGCAAGTTGCCATGGCTACTGTGCCATTGCGTACCTAGCTGCTTGGAAAGCAAAAGCCAGCACATAGAAAGCACAGAGCTACAGTACCCCCCCCCTTCTTTTACATTTATCAATTACAAACTTCTAGCTTAACTAACCACACAAATTAGTTTTACACTCTAACTCCCTTTCTCCCGTCTTAGAAATTGTAGCCCCTTACTGCAGTAACCCTGGACACCTCTTAAGCTATGCCCAGATGTTTTACAAGTCATTTCTCCTCTGAGACTTAAGATGCCAGGTCTCATCTGCCTTCCTGGCCGTGAGGTATACATGCCTGGTATACTTGCTATTTCTGGAGAACTGCTAATTGTGTTTGTGTGGGTACAGAAACTAGAAACCTTGTGGGATCTAGGAGAGCTTCTAGAGATAACTTTTGGAGAAAACTTTTGAAGAGAACTTTAGAAGAACAGCTTTTTTTTTTTTTTTTTTTTTTAAGAATAAAGAGTCATGACAAGAATGATATGCGTATGAAGTGGTTCCTTCATCCTCAGACCCTTTCAATCAGCTCTACCCTCTTGTTGTGTGCGTCTGGCCTGAACCCTGAGAGAACACCAATACAGGCCAACTGAGGGCTCTGAGACTATCATTGGGGTCATCTGTGAAAACTCCTTTTCCCCAAGCATCCCAGGGAAGGCAATGGTGGCCTCCCCTGAGCCTCCAGTCTCATAAGTGAATTGGGGCCCTCGCTGCCATCGTCCCTCCCTGAGAACTGTAAGTCACATTCCAAGTCACCATTTCCGTGTCCCTCAGATCCGAGTTCAGAATTGCATGCACTTCCCAAAACTACACACGGAGCCTTTGGGAACATCATACTGGACATTATAACACTTAATTTGTCTGAAAGAGCCCCTGGTAAATGGAGCCCAGCAGTGATGCCTGATGGAGGGTGCTTTGCTATGGCTGAGAGTTTCATCTATGGGCACTCTAGTTTCTGAGTTCCCACGGTCAGTGCTTAATGTTCACTGATATTGATGAAAGCTATCAGTCCTTCAGTGCAAAGACTACACCAGTGGTTCTCAACCTTCCTAATGCTGTGCGACCCTTTAATACACATCCTCATGTTGTGCTGACCCACAACCTGCAAACGTGCTATTATTATGAATCATAATATAAATATCTGATGCTCAGGATATCTGGTATGCAACTCCCAAAGGGGTTTTGACCCACAAGGTGAGATGACTTGGATTAACCAATACAGACTTACCCTGAATTGGAATCTTGGTTCAAGCAGTATGGTGAGCTGATGATATTAGAGAAGACTACTCATGCCTTACTGTCTTCATTATAACACAGAGTTGTAAAAATTTACTTTGTAGTGTTGGTGTGGTGAGACATTGAAGGTAAAGTACCTAGGTAGTAGAGTTTCTTTTTCTGTCTATCCTGGAACTCACTCTGTAGACCAGGCTGGCCTTAACTCACAGAGATCTGCCTGCCTCTGCCTTCTGAGTACCACCGCTGCCAAGCTGTAGTAGGGTTTCTTTTCTTTTTTTAATTTATATGGTTTTCCTGCATGCATGCATGTGTGAGGGTGTCAGATTCCCTGGAACTGGAGTTATAGATAGTTGTGAGCTGCCATGTGGGTGCTTGGGAATTGAACCCAGGTCCTCTGGAAGAGCAGACCGTGGTCTTAACCTCTGAGCCATCTCTCTAGGCCCTGTAGTAGGGTTTCTTAAATGCTATCTCTCCTCTAGTTACTCTTGAGCTGTCATATGGTCATATGGTTAGTGCTAATGAATGAATGGGGAAATTTACTTTTTTTTTTTTCAGTGATATGACAAGCCCTCAGTCCCACCTTATGATGTTGCATCTGAATTCTTATCCCTCTGAGTACATTATTATCACTTCCAAAATATCCTCCATTTCACCTTTCACTCACCTGCAGCATCACTGCCCACATGGCCCTCTTGTCAAAGGGCTGCTCTCCTTTTTCTGCTCAGTCACTCTCCTGCCTTTGCTCTTAGGTAGTTCCAGCTGTCTAGCCACCCTTTCATTTAATGCTTCCAACACACCACAGACAATGGGGCAGAGATGACTATCTGTAGATGCTTAGGGACAGATATATTGACCTGGTCAAGGTCACTAAGAAAGGAATCAAGAACCCAGGCTTTATAAATTTCCCTCAAAAATCTCAAACATCCTTGGGAACAAGCTTGGTGGGAAAGGACTTCAGACTTCCCATGTTAGCAACACCCCAGGGGCAATTGCTTTCATCGTAGTGAGTATACTCAGGAGAAGAAAGAATTTAGTGTTTTCCAAAGGATACAGACTTTGTTTGAGTTCAAAGTGCTCCCATCTTCCATTTAGTCACACAGTGGATTTTGAAACAACAAAGTAGCCCTTTACCCAGATAGGAAGGGACTCTCTTGGCTATCTTACCAGGATTTCCTATCCACTGTCACAGAATGATCTAGCTACTTGAGTACACTGAATGCTGGACTGAGGCTAATTCTTGTCTAGAAGTACCAGACCATAGGCCTTCCAGAACTGTGCCACCATGCATAGGGGATTTCTCTGGCTCTTTTAACTGACAGAGGACTTCCGAGAATCTGGGTCTTGTGTATAGACTAGTCTCTCTGTTTCACAGAGAGCTTGGGCTGTAAGAGTGGAAGATGTGACAGGCTCTGCTCTAAGCTTCTTGAGTGAGCTAGAGCAGAACACTAGAGGTCAAGAGTCATGGTGCATAGACTAAGCGGGGAAAGATGCATAAACGTTCAGGGCTCAATGAGGAGTTCGGAGGAATGCTGTCAATATTCAGAGCCTAAACTAAGGCTCTTTATTCTTTTCCCCCTGGCTTTCTCAAGGCTGCGTCTCTGTTGGGAGGCAGTTGGGGCTGGACTTCAAGTCTGTTTATGCTACATCCTTGGCTTGGCTCATCACCACACTGCATGGCACTCTGGATATCCTCTCCTTCATCGTTCTTCCCTTTGTTCTACTTCTCTTAGGCTTGGTTCCTGCACGCAACCGTGGCTCTCCTGCTCGTACCTTTCATTATGATTCACACCAACTTGAAGAAAAAATTCAGCTACTTCATCCTGGCCTTTCTCCTGTTTGCACTCATCTGTGTGTGGAAGAAAGGGAGCTATGAGGCTCTTAAATTGCAAGCCAAGGAATTTCAGGTGACCAGGAGCCTGGAGAAGCTGGCCATGCGGTCTGGTTCCCAGTCCATGTCTTCAAGCAGCAAACAAGACCCTAAGCAGGACAGTCAAGTTCTCAGTCATGCCAGGGTCACAGCCAAGGTCAAACCACAGCCCTCCTACCAGGTGTGGGACAAGAACTCCTCATCCAAAAACCTCAACCCCAGGCTGCAAAAGATCCTGAAAAACTATCTGAACATGAACAAATATAAAGTGTCCTACAAGGGGCCAGGGCCAGGAGTCAAGTTCAGTGCTGAGGCCCTGCGCTGCCGCCTTCGAGACCGTGTGAACGTATCCATGATAGAGGCCACAGATTTTCCCTTCAACACTACTGAATGGGCGGGTTACCTGCCTAAGGAGAACATTAGGACCAAGGCTGGGCCATGGCACAGGTGTGCCGTCGTCTCCTCCGCAGGATCTCTGAAATCCTCTCAGCTGGGCAGAGAGATTGGTATGTAGAGTGTTCTCCGAGCAGCTGATGCTTCTGGGTCTGGTTGGGGAATTTCAAGGCCCTTGAACAAGAACCCGTGCATAGCTTAGAGGAACAGCAGAGTTGTCCCAAGGCTGTGTTTTCAGCTGTCTTTCTTGGAGTGAAAATGCCCCCAAAGATGTCTAAAAAGACGGGGACCACAGCTTAAACCTTTTTTTTTCCTTTTAATATAGTTTTAAGAATTGAGAATTTCACATGTGTATACAGTATATTTATTTTAACCATATGCAACCTGTTCCTTCCTTTTCATTCTTCTACATCCCCTTCCCAGTTTCATGTCCCTCCCCCCCTTTTCTTTTAATAACCCACTTAGTCAAATGAGTGCTGCCCGTATGCACATGGATGTGGTCTTCCACTGTAGCTCCATCAACCTACCAGGTTCCACACCCCTAAAGAAATCTGAGTCCTTCACATGGAAGCCATGAGCTTCCCCTAGGGGTGGGATCTCAAGTGTCATTGTGTTTGTCACTCCCCCCCTCTCCCCATGCTGACTTGAGGTTATTGATGGTTTGTAGGTCTTGGGTAAGTAATTGCAGACTCTGGGAGCATATGAGTGCAGTGACTGCCAATATCTGGAGGTTACTGCTTTTCCCCAGTCCTCCCTGGCCTCTGGCTCTTACAATCTTTCTATTCTCTCTTCCATGACATCCCTTGGAGGTCTACTGTATTTTCTCCATTAGAATATTTTTCTATCTGTTTCAAAAACTGGTGCTCAATGGAGTGTTCCATTAAAAAAAAAAAAAGTTGTGCTGCAAAAAACAAAAACCCTACAGCTGACCTTTGAAAATGTTTGTAGCATAGAACTTGACTTTGTTTTCAGTATCTAAGTGTCTGTTTGTTTGTCTAAAATCGTGTGGAGAGCAGGCAGCCATGTGCCACAGAGTTTCACTTCAGGCTTTGGCCATCACCATCTATCAGACAGGGTCTTTCTGTGGTTTGCCCCTGCTGGGTACCCCAGGCTAGCTGGCCTCCTAGCTACTGGTGATTCTCCTATCTCCGTGTCTGGCTTCAGGTGGGTACTGAGAATTTGGCCTCATGTCCACAGGCTTGCATTTTACCCCCTGAGCTGTCTCGTTAGGTGTGATTCTGATATGTGGCAAATTCTTTTAAGTCTCACCTGGCTTAAAAAGAAAACAGGATATATATATGTTTCAGCAGAATTTTTGTGTGTGTGTGTGTGTGTGTGTGTACATGTACTGGGTATGGTATGGAGGTTAGAAAACAGCTTTGTGGAGTTAGTTCTCTCTGCCACCTTTATGTGTATTCTGCAGATCAGACTCAGGTTACCAGACATGGGCACTACGTGCTGTTAGCTGATGAGCCTTCCAACTGGAACTTTTAAATTGCGTGCTATAGGCTAACACCAGGTGTTGTATGAATCCTTAAAGTTGCCTGCAAAGCTACCAGGAGGTACTTGCAAGCCTGTCTGCCTTTTTTCTGGTCATGGTCCTGATGCTCAGAGCATTCTGTGATTGAAAGAGACCACAGGTCCAAATACACTTCTTTGCTATTCATGAAACTGCTAACAGCTAATAAAGAGCCAAAGTCTGTTCACATTACAAACCTGCAACTGAGAGCTAACTAACGTGTACACAGCCATTTACTTCTGTTATTTTGAGAGAACTCTGGCTGTAGAGAAAGCCTTGCCATCAGACTGGGGGCCTGGAGAAAGTGAGGTCATATACTCCTTTTAATTTCCTCTGGTGACTGCCAGGGCCTGAAACCAGACATAACTTTCAGAGAAGGAATGCAGACCCAAACAGGTTACTCTGAATCCCTAAGTCCATTGTGATTCTAACGAGGCCCCCCAAATGGCCAGCCCTACCCCAACTTTAGCTTTTGCCCTTTTGGTTTCTTTGGACTTATTTCCAGAAAGTAAATGTGATTGGATTCTGTTGTGTGTAATAGAATCAATTTCCCATTTCTCCTCTTCGTTTGCTATAGAATAGTGGCATGGCTAGGATGGTTAGATGACTGAAGTTCTTTCCATCAAGTTATTGTCTGGCTAAAGTTGTGTTCAGGGTTAAAGCAGAAGCAAAAGTCCTTGTAAACTGGAGCCGCAGCTTCATTCACAAACTCATCAACACCACAGAATAGCAGCCAGAAATACTAAGGCTTGAGACTTGCTGTAGAATTGAAGCTATTGGGCATGTTATGACTGTTCAGCCTAATGATGCTTCATTCATGATACTTCTAACAATATAGCCCAGGTCATCTGAGAGGCTACCACTTTTATCCAGTGGAGGAATATCCCCAGGAACTGGATTAAACCCTTGTCCAGGACTTTGGCGAAGTGGTTCTTAACCTGTGGGTGGTGACGCCCACAGGGTTGCATATTAGATCTCCTTCATATCAGTTTACATTACAATTCATGATAGTAGCAAAATGACAGCTATGAAGTAGCAATGAAAATAATGTTATGGTTGGGGGTCCCCACAACATGAGGAACTGTATTAAAGGGTCAAAGCACTAGGAAGGCGGAGACACAGCTTTGGTTGTTCACCAGAGAGACGCCTCAATGTCTTTTGCCTCCAGTAGTCCCATAAATCAAATTACGGTGGCTCCATCATCACGGGTGCCTTTTATTGTTGCTGATAGTGGATTTGCATGTATAAGCTATGTAGATAAGTTAGGAATTTTATTCTAAATAATAGCATGTTTTTCACATACTATCACCAATAAGTATGATATATTGTGTACTCACTGTGTGCTTGGCATACCTGCTTTCCTTTGTTTGTTTGTTTGTTTGTTTGTTTGTTTGTTTTTTGAGACAGGGTTTCTCTGTGGCTTTGCAGGCTGACCTGGAACTAGCTCTTGTAGACCTGGCTGGTCTCGAACTCACAGAGATCCACCTGCCTCTGCCTATGAGTGCTGGGATTAAAGGCGTGCGCCACCACTGCCTGGCTTGCTTTCTTCTTTTTAAATTTCATTTTTGTGTATGGGTGTTTTGCCCACATGTATGCCTATGTACTGTGTGCATAATTAGTGCCCATGGAGGCTAAAAGTGGGGCATCAGATCCCCGGAACTGGGGTTACACACATAGTTGTGAACTGCCATGTGGGTGATAGAAATTGAACCTGGGCCTTCTGGAAGAGCATCCATTGTTCTTAACTGTGGAGCCATGTCTCCAGCCCCTCAGTTTCAAAAACACGTTTTTGTTGATTGAGAATTCCTGCATGCACACAGTTTATTTTGATCATATTTACACACACACCCTCTCCTCTCAGATCTATCTCTGGCTCCTCCTAACTTCTAGTGCTCTTTTTGTTTTAATAACTTGCTGAGTTCAGTTTGTGTTGCTCATATGCTCATGGGTGTGGGGTCATCCACTGCAGCTGGTCTACCCACTAGGGGCTACACCCTTAAAGAAAACTGATTCATTCTTCCCTATAAGCTCAGCTAGGGGTAACCTCACACCCTCCACCCAAGACTTCCCCAACTCCTCTCAGGCCCCAAGCTGGGATGTGGGGCCCAGTGTCTGGAGAAGGGTAAAGGGTTAGGCCAGAAAGATCCCCAGGAATCAGTGCGGACCTATATATCTCGTTTCTTCTCTTCGTCTCCCTGTCCCTAGCCCACTGGTTCTCAACTTGTGGGTCACGATCCCTTGAGGGGGGAGTGTGAATGACCCTATCACAGGGGTCACCTAAGATCATCGGAAAACACAGATATTTGCGTTATGATTCATAAGAGTAGCAAAATAACAGTTATGAAACAGCAATGAAAATATGGTTGGGGATCCCCACAACACGAGGAACTGTATTAAAGGGTCGTGTCATTAGGGAGGTTGAGAAGCACTGCCCTAGCCAGTTCCCTGCCTATGCTGGACTATGCAGTAGCAGTGCTTTCTCCTGGCTGGGCCTGACTGTTCTTCCAGTCTCAGTTCTGAACCGCCACATTATCAAAAGCCTGGGTGTCTGCGGAACGTACAATAGTCTGTGATAGACATAAATTGCAATGTGTACCTTTTCACGCAGTAAGACACAAGGTCCTTGTGTGTTTTGTCCATATCACTGTCTGCAGTGTCTAGATCTGTGCCCAGCATAGCATGGTCTTCAGTCGGTATTTTCTGCATGAAGCAATGATCATCTTTTCCAATGCTCAACATCAAGGTCCTATCCAAAACTTTCTATGATGAGGATCCTCCGTCTTTCCCACCAATCCCAGCTCCTGTCCCCTTCCCACTTGCCTCTGGGGGTTGAAGTTCTGGACTGTGTCAATGGGTACGTCCTGCCTTCTGACTTATTTGAAACCAGCTCAGGGGAGCATTGGCTTGCATCTGAGAAGGAGGAAGGTGGAATTCAGCTCAGTTTCACTTAGTGCCCCTAGGATGACCTGTGATTGTGGTTTTTCTGGGATCAAAAATCTCAGCTCCTGTCAGACGGTGGGACTTCCTGACTCTGGTGTTGCTGTTTCCCTGCAGTCCTGGGAGATCAGGGCATGAAGCAGAATGGAGGGGAGCCATTGACTGCCCCCCTTAGTCTTTGCTGGCGGGATGTTAGCAGAGGTGGCGCTCCTCTCCTGCAGGGTACAGCTGGTGACAGTGTCCTTCCTGGGATCCTGAGTCCCTGCTCCTGCTGGTGGCATGCCTTGGGGTAGAAACAGCTCCAGGAAGGCCTGGGTGTTGGATTCATTTCTCAAACTCAGCCTTGTAAACAGCACTTTCATTGCTCCTGGGATGTGTGATTGGGAAAGTAGCCAAAGTGCAGTTTCTGACAGGTCTGTGTCTCCTGTGGTTTCTACTGTTTACTTTTGACCCTGTGCCTGGTTCTAAGGAACCTATCTGTTCTATCTTGTGGAAGGGTGGACCTGCTGCCCTCCTGGCAGAGTACTGTCTGGAAGCTGATAAGATTTGGACTCTGCTCATCTTGTGTCATTCCCAACCATTCCAAAGGCATGTTGTCTAGGAATTAAGCTCTGTTGTTCCTGTGAATAAGGTGTCTGGATTCCTGTGGTTTCAAAAAAATAGATATGAACTGAAATAAAGAGGAAGACTTTCATTGCTTAATTCTGGAGGCACCCTCCTTCGCGGTCATTTGCCATGGATCTGAATGCATTTGTTCTTCTCATTTTATCTCAGTAGATATTGAACAGCTGTAACCAAATCCTCATACACAATAGAGGGTGTCCAATCTGGTGCAGATTTTGCTAGTGAACCCTAAACTTGTCTGAGCAAGCGAGGATGGGGTGGGCTTTCATAGGATCCAGAGGCTTGGGGTTAGGATAGCACCTAAACGCCATTGCTTCTCACCCCATCAGTTTGGTCAAATGTTAGGTTCAGAAACTTGTGCAAACCTTGCAAATTATGCTTAAAGAAGGTAGGGACCAAGTTATGTGTTTTTGAGGTGGTCTGTCTGACTTTGACTAGAGTTAACAAAATATATTATTTCTAACAAAGCACTTAATTAAAAAGCAAAGCACAGCTGCCCTGCAGTTTGGGAATTGAAGTTGCACTATGACTTGCTTGACTCATTTCTACCTCAGCAGATTTGTGGCTTTGTGGGTCTCAGGTTTCAAAATGGGACAGATACTTCATGGCTGTCCTGGGTGACATAGTGTGTCCCACCCAGGCACTTAGCTAAGCACTGTAAGCTTCTCAGAGTGCAATGGCTATGTTGCACATGTGAAACAAAGTCAGCACAATGTAGCAGGGCTAGAAACATGATTTATGGGTGATAGGTAGGGTGTGTGTAGTCTGTTCCTTTGATACCCGAGAAAGCATTCTGTTATAAATGGCGTGTTGGTCCCATTCATTTTTCTGTTGCATCTCAGCACACTGGTGCCAGTGAATGGCCCTCAAAATTAATACACATTGTAGCTCTTGCAATGGCTGGCAGACAGGTGATCATCTTTGTGAGCTTCTCTGAGTCCCACACTCACACTATAATATCACAAGATAAAAACGGCGTGTATTTTGGTCGCCCCTGTGCCTTCCTTCCTCTTCTCTGTCTCTCTTCCTACATATCGCTAGCACTCACCCCCTATTTCCGTTTCCTGTGGTTTACAGATAATCATGATGCAGTCCTGAGGTTTAATGGGGCACCAGTAGCCAACTTCCAACAGGATGTGGGCACGAAAACAACCATTCGCCTGATGAATTCTCAGGTAAGAAAGCGTTCTTTCCTATAGGTTGTGCACATGATGGAAACAACTACAGTCTGGGCGCCATTGCTGAGTGTACCCACATCTAAGCTGTCATCTTAAGTTTCTTCACCTCCTCCTGGGTCCCAGATATGTCACTGAAGAAGGGACAGTAATCCCCTGGCCAACCTTGCGATGTGTCTATATAGTCATCACACTGATAGTGTGCGCTGATGGAGCTGCCTAGGGTCTAGGGAAGTGGGGTTCTGGTTTTCCTTGTTCCCATGCAATTGTGCCTGTAATTTTGGACAAGAGACAGCAGAGCACAGGGCATTCAGGGAAGAAGGGGGGAGAAGGTGGAAGGCTGGGCAAAGTAAGCAAGGATACACACAGAGTTCAAGGTGGCTATAAAACACTGTGCCAGCAAAGGACATAGTACCAGAGCCACAGGGGCCTATATATAGACTGTGTATCAGAAGCCATGCATTACTTCATGGCTTTCCTAAGTCCTTCCCTAAAGTATTTCTGAGTAGCGGACATGCTGATTTCTCAAAACCAACAGGAACTTTAGGCATGTTCTTGCCAAAATTCCTGTTAATAAATATAGTGATAAAAACGGAATTGAGCACAGCCTTTAGCCAGGCACAGCACTGAGCACGTACAGTCCCAGCCACCTAGAAGACTGAGGCAGGATTAAGATTCCATAGATAGATAGATAGATAGATAGATAGATAGATAGATAGATAAAGTAAATAAATAAGTAAACAAATTCTGTGCTGGGACCACCAGTCTAGCAAACCTCACTGTTGGCAGTGATATTTGTTCCTTCGTGAGCAAACACAGGAGCCTTAGCTGTTGCCCTGTGGGTATTTAATCTTTGTCTGCCTCTTAGGAGTCTGAGGCCTGGGCAGCATCAGAAAAGCCCTGCCAGCAGCACTCTGCTGGTATTGGACCTGCTTCCTCTCCTGCAGTAGGGCCCCCAGGGCTGAGTGTGTCCACATCAAAGCTGCTAGCTTGATTAGGTTTCCTGACCTCCTGCATCCCAGATATGTCACTAAAGAAGGGACAGTGATCCCATGACCGAAGTTGTGATGCACCCATAAAGAAAGGAAAATGGGTGCTTCTTTCTCTTCACTTTCTGACTCGCAGGAACATCCAGATGGACCCCGCACTGCTTCCTGCACAGTGTTCCTTCTATTTGAGACCCATGGTGGAAAGAAGTAGGACCAAGGAGCAGAAATGCTGTGCATGCAAACTTATTTCTTGTTTTTTTTTTTCCTTGTAAAACTTTTTTGGGGGACAGTATCTTGCTATGTTGCCCAGGCTAGCCTTGAACTCTCAGTTCTCCTTCCCTTTCAAGGGCATACAGTCATCTGCTTGAATCACCATGTCCAGTTTTAAACCTTTTGGTTATTATCATTTCAATTTTAAAACAGCCATCACTTTCTATCCTGGCGACATCTGGTGTCCAGATATCTTCAGTGTCTCTGTTGTTCTACCTAGGGATCTTTCTTTCTTTCTTTTCTTTCTTTCTTTCTTTCTTTCTTTCTTTCTTTCTTTCTTTCTTTCTTTCTTTCTCTCTTCCTCTCTCTCTCTCTCTCTCTCTCTCTCTCTCTCTCTCTCTCTCTCTCTCTCCTTGTTGTTGTTGAGACAAGATCTTTCACAGGGATCTGGGGCTGCAAACTAAACTACACTGGTTTACTTGCAAACCCCAGGGATCTATCTCTGTCTCCCCAGCCCTGAGGTTATAAGAGCACACTGTTATATCTAGTTTTTCTTGTGGGTGCTAGGAATGGAACACAAGTTCAGTAAGCATTTTACCATCTCCCTAGCCCCACACTTTGGGTTTTTATATCACTTTGTTTAGCAATAAAATAGATAAAGAAATTGTTTGGTTAATAAGATTCTCTGATCTTGACTCCAAAAGGAGCTGGATTTGGAAAAATATGGACACTTGGCTGGCCTAAAGAAGGAGGGTGGTCAGATTCAGGTTGCCTGGTAGAGCTGGATGAGGCTGTGTTTCCCAGCTGCTCAGATTAACATGTCTAACAATCTGGTATGGAGTTAGGGTCTTTTTTCCCCACCCTCTAAAATCTCCTTATATTTTGCCCTTACATTTCACCTGATTTCCTTCTCATGCTCCAGACACAGGAACCCTGAGTTGGGACATTTTAGGGAACACTGATATCTATTTTCTGCTCCCATGCGAGATGAACTAATAACTGTGCATACATGCATCCATTCATTCAGTGAGTGTTTAGAGTGTTAGGTACATGGTAGCAGTCAGTTCTTGGCCTCTGCAGTGAGCTTGCCTGAGGGATTGACAGAATCGTCATGCATAAGTTACTCTCTGAAGAGGAGAGTAACAGTATTTTCCTCATGGAGTCATTGTGAAATACAGATGAAAAAAAGTGGGAGGTACTTAGTATTAGGGTTTTGCCACAGAAGAGTACACTACGCTGCAACAGATCTCAGACAAGAGAGGGGGCAGGTACGAAAGGCTGCTTCTGAGCCGGAACAAGAGAGAAAGACAGAGAGAGGGCCACGATGGCGTGGAATTTATAAAGAATATGCGACTGATGGCCACAGGGGAAAAGTGTGGCATTTGGTGACTGATGGTGACATGGCTGCTGGTGCTGGGTCACTGAAGGCAGGCTGGGGGAAGGAAACTCACCTGGTTCTGGAATGTGGCCAGTTCCTAACACTTATGTCAGTACTTGGCATGTGGGTCCCTCACTGTTAGCTGCTCTTACTATTTCTATCTGCAGACACAGAGTTGGGAGTGAGAGCGCAGTCTTTCTCTGACTCCTCTCAGATAAAATCAAGTCTCACACAAAGAAGCCGAAAGTCGCCACTGAGAACTTCCCGGGGTGGGGGTGGGGGGGTCATGGAGCTAGTAGAGCCCTGCCAAGGAGGTCCCTGCACTCCAGGGAAGTCCCGAAGGCCTCCTGCAGCAGGTGATACTCATCTGTGTGTTTGGGGAACCAGTGAATGATGAGATGGGGACATGGCAACAGCATGGGTGAGACCCTGAATGACAGCCTGCTAAGGACATGGAAGGACTTGGGAAGAGGGGGTGGCAGTAGGCGGTGGTTTTAGAGAAAGGTAGTCAGATTACTGAAGAGTTTTTCTGCCATGATCCCATTTGCATTGTGTAATTAATTCACTCTCTGGCCAGAGGAATTATGGTGCCCAGAGGGACACAGTTAGGAGGGTCCTGCTGCCTGTAAAAGTGCTTGCACCAGAGTAGAGAATACATTCAAGAGCTACTGAGGCAGGGGAGCCTGAGGGGTTCAGTAGATTAATGAAGTATTTTAAGTACACCAGTGTTGTTTTCTTTCAAATAGTCATTACTCAGGGTCATCTTGCCCACCTGGCAGAATTTTGTTTTTCTCAAGAAGAGAACTACTGGGTGCTGCCCCCCGGGTGGTCTGTGAGAGGCTTGGTCTTTGATATGGGGATAGGCCTAACAGATGGTTGTTAGGTCAGAGATGTCTCCTTTGTTACAGGAATGGAGTCTAATGGCAGGTCAAGCCTGGTGAACAAGGAAGGCATTTACATCTTTGCATCTTAAGTCTTGCTCTGATAGGCCTCTGTAACATACTGCTTATACAGGGTGTATTTTGGAGGCTGTGCTCCCGTAGCTGAATTCTACTTTGTGTGTGTCTTAGTTAGGGTGTCTTTTGCTGTGAAGAGACACACATGACCATGACCAGTTCAGAGGTTCAGTTCATTATCATCACGGTGAGGAGCATGGCAGCACACAGGCAGACATGTGCTGGAGAAGGAGCCGAGAATTCTACATCTTGATCTGTGTCGAGCAGGGAAAGAACTGTGAGCCTCTGCGCCTGGGCTTGAGCATCTGAGATCTCAGAGCCTGAGCCCACAGTGACACACTTCCTCCAACCAGGCCACACCTCCTAATAGTGCCACTCCCTATGGGCCAGGCATTCAAGCAAGTGAGTCTATGGGGCCTTTCCTATTCAAACCACCACAGTGTGATTTAATGTCTGCTAAGAAAGTCTATGAATAAAGCCTTTATAATATCACTCCTATTACTCTGAGTTTCTTCTCCATAACTATGACCAAAACACTTAAAGGGAGGGACTTATTCTAGCTCACAGTTTTAGAGGGTTCAGCCATGGTTATTTGGCCACTGTGCTTTTTGGCCCAGAGTACAGCAGTGAGAGCATGTGGGGGAGGAACTTAACTCCATAGTTGACAGGAAGGGCACAGCTGGGACAAATGGTTCTTCGGAGGACAGTTCCCATTTACCTACTTCTTCATCTAGACCCCACCTCCCAGAATTTTCAGAAGCTCCCAAAATAGCACCACCATCTGGGAGTCAAGTTGCCAGCATATGAGTGTCTTTTGTGGCTACTTCCTATCTAAATAGTGACAAGAGAAGGGTGACATCCTACACTTCTAGCTGGGGTTTATTTAGGATGTCTTTTAGGTGTCTGTAAAGAGATATCAGGTAGGTCTTTACCCAAATAGGGATGGAGTTCAGACAGTTCTGGATGGGAGAGTAGCTGGGACCTGTCTGCATATATGTGTGGTAAGGAAACAATGGAATTGATATGTGTGTGTGTGTGTGTGTGTGTGTGTGTGTGTGTGAGAGAGAGAGAGAGAGAGAGAGAGAGAGAGAGAGAGAGACAGAGACAGAGACAGAGACAGAGACAGAGATAGGGAGGAGAGACTGAGAAGGGTGATACTACCAGGAGCTTAGGCTAACTATGGAGAGAGAGGAAATGAATATGGAGCTGTATTAGATGCTGCTGAGTGGCGTCTGTTCTCTTTAGCAAGAGGTTTTAGTTTTGTGTTGTTTTGAGAATTCTCGTTCTATATGACAGTAGAGAGATGGGGCTTGAAATGTCCACGTTCAGTGCATAAGTGTTCGATGTCAGCAACCCGGACGCATGCATTTGTGTTGTTTTGGTATACCTGAAGAAAGACCTGAATAAATGCAACTGTATTCTCCACCGTTAGGGTTGTCCCATACAGAGTAGCTGAGAGTAACTCCG